TCGTTCATGAAAGCGTTAATGAAAATAGCAACAAGATAGGATTCTACCACGGTTTGCTGGCCTCCCGGTTTATCACAGTTTGCACGCTTTGGTGAGCCTGAATATGTTTATAGTATTAAGTAGTGTTATGACGTGCATTAAGTGTCGTTTGTTAGCTCTCTTTTCTTTTTCTGACTCACGCTTACTTTTCAAAGAGAGTTTAACTTCAACGGCTCTTTGAACATTGCAGGAGTACGTGAGAAGTTGGATTTTGTGTGCGCCTTGGACGCCATGGTAAGAAAACTGATATACTTGATCTATTTTGACATTCCTCAATCAAAGTGATATCGGAATACTTTACTTGGTGTGCCGGACGATAAAATCAACTCGGAAAAAAGGTTGCTTTGGCAAACACTACATGTTTGATTGAAAAATGTCAAAACAGATCAAGGATATCAGTTTTACTTACCATAGCGTTCGAGGAACATAATTTGGTCATGCCATTCCTTTATCAGCTATGCTGTCCTGCAGCTGATCTTTAGATCAGCTTTGTATTTGCTGATCTATTTGACATCCTTGTGTTTTTGGTGGTGACGGCCGCCCATAGATCAAAGTTCTTCGTTTCTTTGTACTGTTTATGTACCGTCAAGTCACGAAATCAAATTGAATTAATTTGACTGATTTCGGCCTTCGACAAAATGTTCAAGTCCTTTTAACAACTCAACCCTTGCTATGATATCAGCGTGTTCTTCTTACTTATTATCACGGAATGTATCTTGAATTTGATCTACTGAATTCGAGCAGACTTCATTGTTATTCTAGAAGGTCACAGTGGAATTCTACTCTTCGTGGTTTGACAAACATAATTCGATCACTAGAAAGTCTTTTGCGCTAAAAAGAAATAACCAAGTAAGAAGAAACTGTAAATTGTATGTTGATGTCCAGGTATAGACAGCATTTAAAAAACATTTGATTGCGATAGACGATCAACAGAGCCAAATCCTCGATTTGACCTTTGTTGGCTGTTTACTCTCCAAATACGATTTCTGATGACGCGCGTAACACTCTGTAACACCTATTTCGTACCTTTGGAGTTTCCTGCTAACAGTTCTCAAAAGTTCAATTTATCATAAATATGGTTGTAAGTTAACGAAATTTTCGCTACGGTTCACATATCTGTCCTGTCCAGACGCGTCTTCAGTAATCCGATGCATGCGAAACAAGAGAAGGGAATTCTACCTTTGCAGATGCTTTCGCTTTCCATTCTTTGAGAAACCTGTAATCGAGAAAACCATTACCGAAACTACTAAAATATCCGAAAGCTAGTAATGTTTGGAGATTCTAGATATTACGGGTGTACTGAATTGAAAACGGTGAAAAGTATTAAATTCTTGGAAAAAGGTAGTATAGTGAGCGAACAAAGGTTTCGATGCGGTCACCTCATCTGTCATTCAAGACAGAAGGGAATTTTCCCCTAAAATACTTCCGTTTTGGGCTTTCTTTGCCATCCACCCTGTTATTCCTGTCATAAGCACTTAGAACACTTAAAACAGTGATAGTTCTAAAACAAAAGATTTATCAAGAGTCTATTAAGAGAGTATTATATTCGTTATCTAAAAGTCACATTATGAGCCCTTTCTCGTATGTGATACCCACCACTTACAAAAATCCCGCCAAAACAGATTAATTAAGAGACAGTGGAAGCTAACTCATGTCAAATCTCATTAGTGAAAATCATTCAAAACATATATGTACATAAATATACGAAAGTTCTCGAAAAACTCAAGAAACATTAAGGATTGACATTAAAGACATTGAACTGCACTTGTATGGTTCAAATCCTTAAGCTCTTTAGTAAAAATAACGCAAAGTAGTTAATTTATTTCCCCTAGTTTCGACGCAACCTTTGTTTAATCGATTTTCGTGTCATCTTTCTGAATTTCAATCTCGATAACTGGATCTTGCGTCGAGTTGCGTCAAACGATTTGAACATTTCTTTCCACCCGTTGCGTCTGCTGCCTCATTTTAAGAGCTAGCAATGAATATCTGCTTACAAGGCGAGCCACATGACCTCGTTTCGATTTGGGTTCAGTGCACGCACGCATCGATCTGTCATTCATAACTGCAAAACTTCAGGTGATCGGGTGTCGCATCCGATGAGCATTTTGACAAACAACTTGTTGAGGCGAAATCCGTGTCTCTTAGCTGAATTATTCAAGAATCTTTTGAAACGGTGGGTAACATTCATTATTTTTCGTATCTGTTGTAAGCTTAATGTATAGTATTCTTCAGCCAAATCTTGATCCCGAAGACTCAAATGTGTCATTTACGACCAAAGTTCTTCGTTTCTCTGTACTGTTTACTTACTGTCAAGTCACGAAATCAAATTGAACTAATTTGACTGATTTCGGCCTACGACAAAAAGTCCTTTTAACAACTCAATCCTTGCTGTGATATTAGCGCGTACTTCTCCCTTATTATCACGGAATGTATCTTACTAAGATCTTACTACTGAATTCGAGCAGACTTCATTGTTATTCCAGAAGGTCACAGTGGAATTCTACTCTTCGTGGTTTGACAAACATAATTTGATCACTAGAAAGTCTTTTGCGCTGAAAAGGACAAACCAGATGAGAAGAAACTGTATAAACTATGTTGAGGTCCAAGTGTAGACAACATTTATACTTGTTAAAAAAACATTTGATCGCGATAAACTATCAACAGAGCCAAAACCTCGAGTCAAGTTGACCTTCGTTGACTAGTTACTCTCCAAATACGATTTCTAATAATGCGTGTGACACTCTGTAACACTTACTTCGTACCTTTGAAGTTTCCTGCTTACAGTTCTCAAATGTACAAGTTATCATAAATATGGTAGTAAGAGAACGGAATTTTGGCTACGGTTCACATATCTGTCCTGTCTAGACGCCCCCTCAGTAATCCGATGCAGTCGAAACAAGAGAAGGGAATTTCCCCTTTGCGGATGCTTTCGCTTTCCATCGTTTGAGACACCTGTATTCGAGAAAACCATCATGGAAACTACCAAAATATCCGAAACCTAGTAATTTTGGAGATTCTAGACAAAATGAGTGTATTGAATTGGAAAAAGGTTCCGGAAATAACCTACTTTAAGCTTTCAAATACTACAGTAAGGGAACGAAGGTTTCAATGCGGTCAGCCATCTGTCATTCGAGACACAAGGGAATTTTCCCTTTAAATAATTTCGCTTTCCATTGTTTGAGAAACCTGCAGTCGAGATCTTTACATCGTCTGGCAGGTTGTGCAAGTGCTTGATTTTGTGCCGTTGTTTTTAAACTAAACAAAGCTCCTCTTTTGTTATTTGATTAAGCTCCTCTTGTAATGGAATTTTTCATCAGAATAAGCTAAATTCAGTGCTGAAAAGGTTCATCGATATTTACACAATGGGCCCACTGAACAAGAAACAACAATAACGCAAATGCGTCTGCGTTGTCGAGCGCACAGACACAGCACACTTCAGAATTTGAGATTAGCTCGTTACACCGCAACTTTTGATTCTATTCAAGGAAATACGGCATAAAAAACTTATACTGCAACTCCGCAATTACCAATTAATTGTTTAAATACCAAAATTTGAGAAACTCAGGGTTGAAAAAATTGATGTAAAAGCGCATAACTTTTTTATTGAAACTGATAATAGTCCTTGGACCAGTTAATTTCATCCACGTTTGTTTTCAATGTGGAACTCTCAACCTGCCCACTCAAGCAGTTTTTTTTTTCATTTGGATTGGCTAGCATTGGCTGAATAGTTGATTTTTATTAGCTGATGGCTTAAAGTGCTTAATTTCTATTGGCTGCTTAACTGTCCGACTTCGCCTGTGCAATTACAAACACTTGTAATCGGACAGGTGAAAATGGGCAGTGGGCTTGAAACAGTCAATTTAGCCACAAATGAGGGCTGATAAGAACCACTCATATTCAAACATCTCTAAAAACTGAGAAAACATATAGGCTGAACTCGCTAATATAAATCAATTTGTCTCTACTAAGGCCCTTTCAAACGTAAATATCGTCATGACGTAACAAGTCGCGACCGAGAGGTGGCCAAAATAATGCAACAGCTTAGAGAACTGAAAACAGTAAATAAAGACAGGTTGAGTTACCTTTACATCTCCGGAAATCCTGGAAGTGGAAAGTCTCAACTAGCGGGTCTTGTGGCTGAACGATTCTACAAAGAAATTAAAGATCTTCCAGATGGTACCTCATTTGTGATGACGATAAATGGTGAAAGTCCAGATACTGTGCTACAATCGTATGTGGCTTTTTCACGGCGTCTTAAGTGTCCCGAATACGCGGTGACATCCACTCTCCATTCAGAGGATTTGACAACAAATGAGAAAATCACCGATCTTAGGGCATTGATCGGAACGAAAACTGGGCTTTATACATCATGGCTGCTCGTAGTTGACAATGTCACGAGTCTATCACATGTTCACGTCCATCTACCCGAAGCCGAAAATGAGATGTGGGCAAGAGGCCAGTTGCTTATCACAACTCAAGACAGTGACTCAATTCCTCCAGCAAGTTCCTTCAACAAACACATCTCAATAAGCAACGGAATGAATCTTGATGATGTCAGTTGTTTATTGGAAAAGCTCTCAGGCAAGTGCCGCCACTTATGTCAGAGAAGTTCGAGAGACATCTGATTTTGGCTGGAAAGACTATCTTGCAAAACTTGAAACAGGCCAAAGAAATGCCATGGAGACATTTCTTGCCGAAGTCAACCCAAGCTATGCAAAGTCCATGACCACAGCAACAACACTGGCCGTAGAAACAGCTATGGAATCGAACAAAGTTATGCATCACGCATTCAATTTCCTGTCCCTGTGTGCACCACAACCATTAAGTCTTAATATCATTGAAGATTTTATCACAAGTGTGGATAAAGAAATTCAAGACATAGAGATGATTCGTTTGAAGATGCAAAGGTGCTCCCTGCTGATGTTTGAAATAGACGAAACTGACGTTTACATTCGTGTGCATCAGGTTGTACATAATTCCATTAAGACTTTGGCTGCAGCTCATTCGGATGATAAGCACAACGAGGTCGTCAGTGGAGTGATTGGATCATTCAGTCGTTTTGTAAAAAAATATCTATCAAGGGACAACGATGAGTTCTATGCTCCAATAAACAGCAGACATGTTACTCATTTGATAAATTTAGCCCCAGAACTTGAGAGATGTTTTTCTAAGAAGGTTATTTCTCAAGTCGACCAAGGTGGCTTTTTGATCAAGAACCATGCGATGGACCTCCATAGAATGAGTATATTTTGCTATATGCATTGTGAATACGAAACTTCAAGACGTTTCATCGATATGGCATTAGACTTATCCATTGTCAACGAGCACGACCCTGGCTTAGATATTGCAGCTATCTACAGAGACGTGGGTGACGTGCACAAAAAGCTGGGTGACCTGAGTCAGGCAAAGGATTATCATGATCGTGCACTGGCCATTCGTCTGAAAAAGCTTGGACCTGACCATGTTGACGTTGCAACTTCTTACAATAGCCTGGGTATTGTACACGTAAAGCTGGGTGACCTGAGTCAGGCAAAGGATTATCATGATCGTGCACTGGCCATTCTTCTGAAAAAGCTTGGACCTGACCATGTTGACGTTGCAAATTCTTACAATAGCCTGGGTGTTGTACACGAAAAGCTGGGTGACCTGAGTCAGGCAAAGGATTATCATGATCGTGCACTGGCCATTCGTCTGAAAAAGCTTGGACCTGACCATGTTCACGTTGCAAATTCTTACAGTTGCCTGGGTATTGTACACAAAAAGCTGGGTGACCTGAGTCAGGCAAAGGATTATCATGATCGTGCACTGGCCATTCGTCTGAAAAAGCTTGGACCTGACCATGTTCATGTTGCAAGTTCTTACAATGGCCTTGGTAGTGTACACAGAAAGCTGGGTGACCTGAGTCAGGCAAAGGATTATTATGATCGTGCACTGGCCATTCGTCTGAAAAAGCTTGGACCTGACCATGTTGACGTTGCAACTTCTTACAATAGCCTGGGTATTGTACACGTAAAGCTGGGTGACCTGAGTCAGGCAAAGGATTATCATGATCGTGCACTGGCCATTCGTCTGAAAAAGCTTGGACCTGACCATGTTCACGTTGCAAATTATTACCATAACCTGAGTATTGTACACAAAAAGCTGGATGACCTGAGTCAGGCAAAAGATTATCATGATCGTGCACTGGCCATTCGTCTGAAAAAGCTTGGACCTGACAATGTTGACGTTGCAACGCGTTGTTGCGTTTTATAAATACTGCTGCAGGTACGTTTTATTCTCCTTCTTTGCCTTCACTTACGGTCTCGAATTCATTGTCAATAATCTCCTCTGCATCTTCCGTCTCTTCATTCTCTTTTTCCCATACTGCATTGTCTTCTGAGCCGTCTAGCGCATTCGCGATTCCACAGGATTTGAATGACTTCTCAGTTAAATCTTGAGGAATTCCGTTCCAGGCGCGATCGATCCAGGTCAACACCAGTTCTTTGCTCGGCGCTCTCTTCTTTCCAGATGGAGTATACGTGAATGGGCCATTTACCATCCATATTTCATGCAGCATTCGGAGTTTGGCTTTGAAAGGCTTGTTTATGCTCTTGTCTAGGGGCTGCAAAACTGACGTCAGGCCACCGGGAATAACAGCAACATCAACAGTTTGTCTTGCACTGTTCTGTTGCGCGTAAACTCGAGGGTTGTTGGGAAGTTTATTTTGGGGTGTTTTTAGATCTAATCTTAACAGAAGTCTAGTGTAACACGCAAGGGTTGGGCCCAAGGTGGTCCTTTTACTTTGATTCATAATTTGCATATTCCCAGGGCATTTTATTAATATATGCAAATGACTTTGTACAATCCTCTGAAGTGAGCCCAAATTTATTTGTGTTAGTTGTTTGTCTGAGATCACAAAATGAGGCGAGAGATTTAACCAAGAGATACATATCAATACAGAAGCATCTCTAAATTATTGAAATGTTTAAGTATAGATTTTTAAGAGGAAAATCACAAACTGAAAATGGGCAACTTGTTCATTTCGCAGACATCTACCATGACTTAAAATTGGAAGTCACTGCCATCTTTACATACAGGTTATCGTCCAAATTGTGTGGTCCATGTTAGGTTATAGTGGAAAGTTATAAAATATTGATAAACTTCAAACAAATAGAGTGTTATTGATTACAGCCATCATAACAAGAATATTAAGGCTACAGAAGCTTTATCATGCAAAAAAAGTTAACAACTACTTGTAGCTCAAGATTGATTGTAGCACTTTAATTTTGAGTCATGCCCCTTTTTATAAGATCCTAAATTGTATTTTTTTTTTCTTTGACTTTAACTTTGACTTAAAGTTTTTGAATGCACAAGTGGAGGTTGGGGAAAATGTAGTTATTAACAGATTGTAAATAATGCTAAACATTGTATATTTGTTTATGGATTTTATAATGAGAAGTTATATGTTAATCATTTCCGGGAATTAAAGGGTTAATGAGTTTTTAGGTTTTATTTTTGATGAAAAATCTTGCTTTTTTTTTTTTTTGTAGTGCAAGAACAAGAGAGGGGGTTCAACTTGCTTTGATGAACTAGTAGAGAAGGTATTTAAACAACTGAGCAATTAAAATGTACAATGTAATATTATGGAAGACATAGAGGCTTTAACCCTTTAACTCCCATTGGCTTCCAGCCATCAGGGGTTATGAGCAATTACATCATGCTTTACAAATATGGTAAGGGTATCATTAAAAAAGTAAAGTTTACAAAATAAAGTTGGGAAGATTATTTTGGGGTGTTTTTAGATCTAATCTTAACAGCAGTCTAGTGTAGTGTGCAAGGGTTGGGCCCAAGGTGGTCCTTTTACTTTGATTCATAATTTGCATATCCCCAGGGCATTTTATTAATATATGCAAATGACTTTGCACAATCCTCTGAAGTGAGCCCAAATTTATTTCTGTTAATTGTTTGTCTGAGGTCACCAAACAAGGCAAGAGATTTAACCAAGAGATATGTATCAATACAGAAGCATCTCTAAATTATTGAATTGTTTAAGTATAGATTTTTAAGAGGAAAATCAAGAAGGGCAAATGCACAGACATCTACCATGACTTAAAATTGGAAGTCGCTGCCACCTTTACATACAGGTTATCGTCCAAAATGTGTGGTCTATGCTGGGTTATAATGGAAAATTTAAAGAATATTGATAAATGTCAAACAAATAGAGCGTCATTGATTGCAGCCATCGTAACAAGAATATTATGGCTACAGAAGCTTTATCATGCAAAAAAAAATTAACAACTACTTCTGGCTTGAGACTGATTGTAGCACTTTAATTTTGAGTTATGCCCCTTTTATAAGATCCTAAATTGTATTTTTTTCTTTGACTTTTACTTGGACTTAAAGTTTTTGAATACACAACTGGAGGTTGGGGAAAATATAATTATTAACAGATTGTAAATAATGCTAAACATTGTATAGTTGCATTTTTAGACTTACACTGATGGTCCTCTTAGCATTAACATGACAAGGGAATCTAAAAGTTGAGTTGGACAAGTTAAGGTTTGCAGATTGGTTCCACAGAGATGTTTCTGATAATTTTCTTTAATTTTGCAGCAAATTTGACGACCTTTGTAAGGAAACTGCAGTGGAAAGCAATGAATTGGTAAGTTTATTTGGACCAAAATGTGAATTCCCCCAAGAGAGAGAGAGAGAGAGAGAGTTTTAGTTTCCTTCATTCATGACAGACACAGAATTTTCTTTCAATTATTTTACAGCATGACCTTTTAGTCAGTGTGTCAAAATTAATTTTATAATCTTGTAGACTGCAGATTAGCAATGCATTCATACTACTTCTGTCTCAACTTCCACATGGATGCATTTACATCTAAGTTTACATCACTTTCCTTGCAATATCTACAACAAACATAATCGCAAGCAATGAATTTCAGCTTGAGATCTTTGCAGAATGCAAGCTTATGACTGGGTGATGTGTTTTGCAATGCTGGATCAACAGTGATAAATTTATTATGAGAGCTTTGCCTTCAAGAAAAGAGAAACTAAGATTATATTAATTATGTACATAAGCTCAATATGTGCAACATATGATAAGTCAGAATACAATAATTTTTTTTTTGCGTATGGGTGTGTGTAATATTAATGTATGGTAACTTAATGCATCAAGATTTTTAAGTTAAAACTCAATACATTTATTAATTTTTCTTTTCAATTAATTCTTAAAATTGGATTAGATTTTGGCTGTGTGGAGATTTAGGACAGAAGTTAACCCCTTACACCTTAATATCAGTATGCATATTCTCCATACTGTTCCTTATACAATTCATAAGCTGCTGACAAGGAGAAGTTGTTTAACAATCAAGAGTTTCTTCAGCTAGTGATCATTTTTATTGCTATTGCCTCCCATGGAAGTGAAGCCATTATGTTGTCCTGTTGAGTTGAGTGAGGGTAACAATAGAATACAAATGACCTCTTCGTCCACAACAGAGTCTGCCGAGTTTTACCTGATATTCCTCGCAATTATAAAATTGAAAAAAAATCTGCTCTATTTATCAATTTAATATTGCTTAGTTCCAAGAAAACTGATATTTGAAATATTCACTAATCTATAACTATTCAATTAAAAAGTGATAAACTTCCATTGCAAACGTCTGTACATAAGTTACAAATGGTGCACATGTCCTCAAGAAAAGAAGTCAAGTCTTTCTTTCTGCATCATCACACAACACCTGGTTCTTTCAATGCTATTAAAAAATTGTTCCATATCAGTAGCCATATGCATATGTTGGTTATTTATATCTATATGTTGGTGTCTTAACTGCCTATTTTCTTTGTTATTGTAACCTTTATTTAATGTTTGATTCAGGGGTGATATATATTATGAAGAATAATTAGATGCTAGTCCCTCTCAGGTGTAAAAGAGTTAACACAGTCTCAGTTCTGGAGGAAATTGTAGTAACACTGTTGCAACTCTTCTAAATGTAGAGTATTGTTGTACATGTAGTTATTTCTCATGGGGTGTCTTTCCTGGATGGAAATTTCATCCTGTATCTTTCAGATGTAAAAAAGTGAAGTTCTTAACAAAAAACGTTTTGTGCTTTTTGTTTTGTTGTAGGCATCCTCACTTGATGTAAAAAAATCTGCAGCAAGGAAGTTCATTGATTTTGTGAACAATGGTCCCTAGCCTTACCATGGTATGTTTTATCCCTGTAGCTTCAGAGTCTGGTGAACTTTTTAAATTTGTTTGCTGTCTCTTCATCTTTTTAAACTAGTGTTTAAATATATTTGGAATTAGTTTTACAGTATATACACAACTTGAGACACTTAATTGCCATTTCAACACAAACCTTCTAACAATATCAAGACATGATCCAGTCCAAGGATGAACAGCAACAACAACCTTAGAGACAAATGTGACTCAGACCTTGGGAAACAAGGGATTAACTGAAAATCTCATCATTTGTCTCATGATACAGAATTATGGTAAAATCAAGCCATCAATTAAAGATCACAATATTATCATTGTTATACTGCTATTCTTTGTAAGACGAGAGGTTAAGTGGTGAAATGAAGGTGTTGCACAACAGTGAGGTGCTATGACTAAAAGAGCAACGTAGCTTGTATGCGTCAATACCAGTTGGCCATCCAGCTGCATGAATTGGGGTGCTTAAGGAAACAGACTCAATACCTGATAATGACAGCAGAATCACCACAGCTGCATGTTGCATTCATTAACTGATAGAGCCTGACTCTTTATAAACAAAGTTGTTTTGATGGGAAAGCTGATATGTTTTGTTTCAGTTGTCAATGAGTGCAGAAAGGTGTTATCAGCAGCAGGATTTAAACAGCTCAAGGAAAAAGAGCACTGGGATATCAAGCCTTCTGATAAGGTGAGAAATGAGAGTTGGGGCTTTTTTTTAAACTTTTGGAAAAGTTGTTGTTTGGACATGACCCAGAATCTCATGATGGTTTCCAGAAATAAAAACTCTGCTGTCTGGGAAATCACATGGTGCACTTAAAATTGGCCACACCTGTTTTCTTTGAAATGAGTGAGGGACCCGTCTTTATTTCTGTAGAGGGGGGAGGGAAAAATATGTTCAAGATAATAATATCTTAAGTTTCTCCCCCCCCCCCCACCCTCCAGGCCACGTAAATAGCAAGTGACCCTCCTCCTTTATTAAGAATTTACGTGATGCCCCCCCCCTCCCCTGTCACCTCATGTCTCCTCTTTGTTGCCCATTAATTATTAAAATTTGTCACATACAACTATAAGATGATTAATTTGCATAACACCCACCTGGAGCAATGTACCACTTTTTAAAATGTATCTCATATAATTCCATTATATCTTGTTTTTATTACAGGAAGTGTGTGTGTGTGTGTGACATGATTCTCCATGTGGAACCACTATAGGCCCCATCCTGTGTGCCAAGCTTGGTTTATTAACCTTAGGTAAATGAATTTTGTTGTGTGTAAATACTAGCGATGTATAATGTTACCTACTAAACACAAGAGTAAAAAGTTGGTTACCTACATTCTATGGTCAGATGTAAGACATCTCACTACCGTCTGTTTAGCCTGTGAGCAGGCTCTTGTGTTTGGGTTACACCATCGGCAGCCACTAATTGGAAAAGTTGTTGAAACTGTTGCTAAACTCTTATTTTTCTGATAGGTATTTACATTGGTGTAAGCCAGACTGTGCTTTTCGATAATTTCAATCATTTTAAGAGTTATCTGCTCCCAGACTCCTTTTTGTTTACTGTCATACAACTCTACCATTACAGTATCTTAGAATTTTCGGATGTTATAGATTTTATCAAGCATCTAAACATCACTGTCAGAAGTGATATAGACAGTTTCCTAACAGTCACGCATTCTCAAAGAGGCATTAAAATTTGGTGAATAATCAGAATTTTTGAGACCTAGAAAAAGTATGAAAAGCGAAATAAGAAGTCTTTAAAAAAATTGGGATAAAGCCAGAAGTTTAACCAAGAAAGCAAGTGCTTTATTACTGAGTGAGGTTAAGCTAAATGTTTGGAAGTAAATGGTAAACAAGTAACAAGCCAGATTCATCTCGAGTATTGCAAACTAATTTATGATCTGTTTTTAGCCATTGGCGGTCCCCAGTTAGCAATGTAATCCATCCGAGAAATGTACTGCTCCTCCATTGTACATCAGGAGACACTGCTATTCAAGGTGACAATTTCTTTGCATAGTAAGGCATTCATAAGCTGGCCTTACATCTGTCACGCAACGCTATCTTACACTAGGGCGAGGTTGCACGTGATTGTTTCCGTCATGTCGCCCAATAGTCATGAAATTATAAGGCAAACAGCATCGCCAATCTACTCGTTCTCTTATGGTGGCCGGGAAACGGTGTGTTCTTTGTTCCATACCAGGCTAATAAGAAAAATTCTGCCAAGGAGCTAGGTACACAATCATCACACTGTATGACCTTTTGGCGTGGTCTAAATACATTACCTTCATTACCTATTTTGTTATTGTTAAGAAGGTCACAAATAGACACAATAGGAATTGATTTGTACGTTACGCGCTTACCTTTAACTAACTTGTCGCAAGCGACAATCGACATTTGTTTACCGGGGTTTTGATCATCACCAGGAGCCCATTAGAAATGGGCTCCTGTCATCACTAAGTGTTTGGACGGTTGCAAATCTACCATGGGGTTGACCAGTGAGCAAAGTGATTCTCCTTAGCAATTAATTGAGATTTTTCATTTTCATTTTTTTATTTTGCAGAGTTTCTTTGAGACACTTCCAACAGTACTGGATTCCGTAGTAGGAGCTGACTAAAGTCAAGCCAAAGGCGTTCCTGAGCTACTTTTGCATGAATCCTCTTCCCAAACTCTGTTTAAATGGTTTTTGCTTGAAAAACAATGTAGGTTCAACTCAGCGAAGCAAACAAGATACTTAGTCAAAAGAAAAGGGACATAATCCCAGCACAATCAATGTAAAAATTGTGTAACAAGGGAAGGGGTAGAAGACGGGAGCACGTAAACAAGAGATAGTATTCAAACAGTGTATCCTGAAAACTTTCTCATTTATCCATTGTCCATTATAATCAGGCAGGACGTATACAGGCATAAAACGGTGGTTCAAACTTGCGGTTTCTTCAAAATTTTCAGAGGTTACTTTGTGGCAAAATCATGCCAAATCTAATATATCTCAGAGAATAGAACCGATAGTTATCTTTTAGATACTTAAATTGGACACGAAAGTCTGAGGATGCAGCCAACTCGTAAGTAGAGAAGTGAGTACCGCGACAAATGAAATAAAAACGAAAACGAAAAACGGGAGTGAGTATTCCGTGACTTAAGGAGGCTTTCGGAGAAGTCTCACGAAATGAAACTGAAAACACCTGGTATTCACTGAAGTTTTTTTAATAGTTCCTCACCTTTAACACGAGAATTTTCATCTTAAAACTTATTTTAAGAGTTTATTCTAAGCATCATTTAAAAAAGTTCGAGTCTTGGCGAAAACTCAACGGCACTGGCTGGAGTCCTACTGACTTTCCACAGCGCTGTTACAACTCGCTTCCATTTCAACTTCGTAGCTGACAAGTCATTAAATATCAGTTTGTAAATTCGCGTTTCAAGCGGCGGCTAAAAATTAAAATTTGAAGGTGACCTTTCAGATAAAACATAATCTGCGGAATGTGATCGTACTTTCAGAGTTCTAGACAGCGTTGTAAATATCCTTTGATTAAGCCGCGTAACCTGAGGAACAGACACTGACACAAGGGGCTTCCCACGGAAAAGACTAAGTTTCCTGTGTGACCGCCAAATCTTGTTCTGAGTTCCACGCTCACGCGATCATCAAAGCGTGAAACTCAGAGTCACAGAAAAGTTATGTCCTATTGATTTGTCCAACCTTCAGATATACCACGCTCTGCGAAAGCATCTAGCACTATACCACAAGGATAGATTATAATCAAGATATATATATGTATGTATATATATATATATGTATATGTATATATATATATATATATATATATATATATATATATATATATATATATATATATATATATATATATCTATACACATATATATACACACAGAGAGTTAAGAAAAATGCGAGGATGGACAATTTCTGACGTAAAAAAGATAAACAATTTAATAAAAGCGTTTCGGTCAGGGATCTTCTTCAGGGGCCTTAGTTATTATTTTCAAATAACTGACGAAGGTCTCTGACCGAAACGTTTTTATTAAATTTTTTATCTTTTTTACGTCAGAAGTTGTCCATCCTCGCATTTTTCTTAACTCACTACGTTCGTGTTTGCTGTGGGGTTTGGACGGCGAATCTTTATTGACCCTCCTGGCGCGGTGCACCTTTGTTAGCCTGAGAGTTCTAGTAACAACTTTATTTATATATATATATGTTGCGATAGGGGAAAAATCAATACACAGACTTCCTATATATATGTCGGTTATCAAATCGAAAGTCAAAGATCAGCAAAATCAAGAGAACATCAGTTGACGTCATTTTGCTAAAATTTAATTGAAAATTTAGTAACAGTGACCCATTTGGGTTGCTTCTCTTTCTTTGTTCATTTGGAGTTGAAAAGATACTTTTGAGGCTTAGGTATTGGAGACCCCGCCTAAAGTACTTTGCATATGGTTTCTGAAATACCGTTTCCTGTTATGATGATAATGCAATTTGAAATCTTTCCTTCTTTTTTCCAAGAGTGCATCAAAAACAGAGTTGAGCACTGACTTAGGAGCCAATATTTCCCAGTGCAGCTCGAGCAAGCGTTTCATATATGGTACTATGGCACTCGCATCGAACTTGCTTATTTTGAATTAGCGGCGGCTTTAGCGACCAAAACTATACGGCTTATGACTGTTTCTGAGGAACTGGTCCGTACGGCAAAAAAAACGGACCGAGTCAGAACAAATTAGAACGCTCTCATTTTCATTGGGACTACCTTGCCATAATAAATAAATGATTTGCGATAGTGTAGCATGACGTCATGTCTTATGTCGCAAGTTGGGGTTTTTCCCGACTTTTACTTGGTTTCAAATTTGCATATGCAAGTTTGTGTCCGCAGTTGTTAAGAATCTGTATTCGTTTTCTTCGATGAAGTTTCGAACTCAACTCTGTACATCCTCCTACTAAACACTAGAGGAAAAAATCCTATGGCATACATAACATAAGTGGCATTTTCAAGCTAACTTAGGTGAGTTTGTCCGAGCTTTGCCGAAAAAATTATCGCATTGCTTACCTTTTGCTTAAATTAATTTTTCTAAGAGGGATAGGCCTTAACGTGTTCCCTTGAAAAATCTTGACTTTGTGTAGGACCGTTATAAGGAAAAGACCCGCACCAAGTTTGAACTTTATTTTTCGATGCACTTATTTTCCTTCGTGTTCCTGTAATTGATGTTTCTTTCGTGATCGTTTTTTTTTGTCTGTTTACAGTTCTCGCGCTTTCTCTGCATGTTGCGTACCTAATAAAACTGAGACATATAATGTGTTCCAAACTTATGAACACATTATATATCTTATCCTTATAAGGCACAGAAACATAAATGTGGGTTTATCACATCAAGTTCAATCTTACTGTCATCGTTTTTTAGAAAAGCACCATGAAAACGCGTCGGAGGAGAATTTAAGAACCTGCTGCTCTAAAATAACACTTCATTCCTGTTAATCACCATTTGATTCCCAGTCTAGAAGATTTTTTTTCAATTCCTTTCGAAATCAGTCTTTGTCTCGTATGCTACGAACGTTCGCAGAGCGTGTTATTTATTCGAGGATAACATTAAACTTCGAGCGTCACCAGAGTGCTAAGAAAGTCGTGTCCGATAGCCCGGGGCTAGTGGATTTTGCGATCGGGCTGGTGAATTCTGTGCTTAGGACAAGTGAAGGTTTTTCGGAGAATTACAATTACAGGAGTACTGTAAGACAAATGTTTTAAACCCTCAGAATAAATTCATGCGGTTCGAAAGTCGCTCCGACGAAGTGAAATCTGCATAAACAAAGCGAAGTATCGCATCACATTTCAGACGAGATACACTGAGATCCCGTGCATAAAAATCCGTGTAAATCCGTGTACCTTAGTGCCAACCGATTTTCAACCGTAAAGGAAAATGAAACTCAAATTTTATTTTCGTTTTTCGTTTTTCTTTGCAGTAAAAAAACGAAATAGGTCTTCCATTTTCGTTTTTTCACTTTTCCCTGTCGGGAAGGAAACGTAATTCGAATTCACTTAATGCTCTCCGTTTTTCATTCTTTGTGGCTCAAAAAACGGATTTTAATTTTCTTTTTCGTTTTCGTATGGAATTTTGAAAACGGATTACAATTGGTTTTTTTGGTTTTTTGTTTTCGGTTTAAGGCACTGAAACTGACAATCGTTGTTTGGGAATATTTAAGAAACTAAGATGGCGGCGTTAGAAAATGTCTTTGATAAAGACTTTGTACGCCGGTTTCTTATCGAACGGAAACATACTTACGAGAAGCTTGTCACTGAAATCAAGGCTCGATATCCGAATCTAAAGGATTCTAATTTACGAAGCGTCAAAAGGTTTTGTAATCACCAAGGAATAAGGAAAAGAATGCCAGTTTCGGATGAAGAGCTTAACTGCCGCTCTCGCTAAAACCGCTCGACTTCCCGTCGGAAATTTTTTTTGAGTTACAGAAAACAAAGAAAAACGGAGAGCGTTAATTATAATTAAGTAATTCGAATTCCGTTTCCTTCCTGACTGGGAAAAATGAAAAAACGAAAATCGAAGACCTATTTCGTGTTTTTACTGCAAAGAAAAACGAAAAACGAAAATAAAATTTGAGT